ACATTTCACACCAGTTGAGAAAGCTTCCTGGCTCAGTGCCTCTATTTGTTCAGCACACAGTACAATAAAGCACACCACAGTTAACTTCACAGCGATAACGCTTAGGAGAACTCGTCAATAGAGACTGTTGGTATTTCCTTATTTACAAATTGGTAACACTTTCTAGAAAGAGCAGAACAGAACACTAACATGCATTTTGCTAGCGAGTCCATCCTCCGTCTACCTCCTTATCGCAAACACCAAAGACCAAAAAAATACGTTTTTAAATGACTTACGATTTGTAGAATAGGCTGTAGGGTGGGTTTGTGGCCATCAGCTGAGTTATAACTGACACTATTATTATTATGAAAACTGGCATCAACTGAATAAATGCAGAATATGAATTCTGAAAAGAACAACAATAATTAGTAGCCGAGAAAAGATAGATGGAAAAGGATGCATCTTTTCACAGAAACCAGGCTATCTATCATAGCTCAGCAATGTATTAAATGTAAACTGAAAAGCAAAAAAGAGGAAGTACTTTCAAATTTTAAGAGGGATGACATTTTAACTTCAAAATAACCTTTATTAATAATCTCAGAAAACTCTTTAAAGCCATTTTCTTTCAATTACGTTTTCATGGCATTTCTTTCATCTACAGCTTCCTTCACAAGGCGACAGGCGCCCACAGCACTGTACCTGTCAGTGACCAGCTGACAATCCAAACTGAAGGAACACACTGCAATTCCCATTTGGGCCTACGGCTTTCCGTGCATCTTCTGAAGTTTGCTACATGCATTCTAAACATCTCAATCTCTGTGCAAACACTGGATAAAATGGCTGAAAAGTAAAGGGTTAAGAGACCATATGCAGTGTGACTTGGGACAGGATGCAAGCACTTGGTCTTTTTGTTTGAATGAATTTAGTAGAACAAAAGAGCGGAAAAAAAATATCGAAGAGAAAAAACCACAGATCTTTACTTCTGCTCTTCATTTGATTTCTAAACTGGCTTCTAAAGTGCCTTTTCTAATCAGGAGCAAAATATAATATGCAGCTATTTAGGCTTTGCCCTCTGCCCTGGGATAGCAACAAGGATACCTGACGCGGCAGTAGGTGGGATTCATTTGCCCTAGCTTAGCTGTCTATAGGCTGTACCAGGTTTTTTTCAGGGCCTGACTGTAAGAGACTCACAGGGACAAATTCATCTTCCTTGGAGAACTATCTCCTTCGGTTAACAGACTGCCTCCGGAGGAAGATTCTTCCAAGGCAGGTGGCATGTGTGTTTGTGTGCTAGCAACAAATGACACCTTGTGTCTCATCTGGAGGTTTCAGCTGGTAGAAAATTATCCCAGACCCATCCTGCCCCGGGCTGGAAAAAGCCCGTGCAGCACCTGGGCAGAAACTCTTGCGCTAATTTACTGAAGGATTAGATACGCCACGAGGACAAGCCAGTACTTCTGTATCCGTTATCAGTCCACATCTGGACTAATTGTTGTTGGATTACCAAACGATCAGAGCTTGCAAAAAGCAACCACCAGGAAAACACTCAGTGACAGAAACTCCGGGGCCTGTAATCCTATCAATACAATGTATTTTTAAAGTAGTGATTAATAAAAGACAATCTAGTCATTTGGAAAACATCCATTTGGCTGCAGCACTTGAGGACAAACACTGAGCGTTTGTCCTGGCTTCAGATGCGTAAGTGGACCCCTCACCCTGGTGGAATATTTAATCCCAAGAGATCCCTCCTCCTGGCTACCTGTGGCCTGTTTTCTTCCTCCTCTTGCTCCTGCGTCCATGCTCTTTCATTTCGGTGCCTCCGTGGATAATAGTGCGCATCTCTGGCTACATTTGAGAACATATGGATATTTCCTGTTAAAAGAAACCAAGAGAGAGTCACGATTTGCATCCAGTTGCTGGTACTCACCGGTATTTCTCAAGAGTTTCTAGTTGATTATCCAGGCTTATACTACACGGCCTGAATTACAGCTGTGAGACTGGAGATTAAAAAGCGCAAACACACCTCAGATTTAAATGTCAAAATAACAGGTCATTCCAAAAAGCGTACCAGAGAAATTGTAAAGTTTGCCCCAAGTCCATCTTAATTTAAATCAAACAGCAGAAACACACTATAATTTTTATTATTGTATCTCATATTTTAATACTGTTTTTGTCACATTCACTTGCAAAGCCGTAGCTTGTGCTGCATCCCCAGGCTCTGAGCAGGAAAATTAATTTGCTTCACCAGACTCAGGCCATGAATTATGGCTTCCCATAATTACTGAATATGGTCTTCTACACCCATTTCTACTTCCTCTTCCTTCAAACAATAGTTTCACTTAATGATTTTATAGTAAGGAAAGATTAAAAAAAATAGCTTTTTGAGTAAAAAAAAAAACCAAACCCAAAACAATTCAGGATTTCCTTTCTTGCACACTGAATGTAATTGACTTATTTTTAAAAATTCTAAAATGAGGAAAGAATTGCATATGCTGTTTCGATTTGAAGCTTGAGCTCCGATTCTATCACCATATGAAGATCTTAATAACAACTGCGCTCTCCTCTTTTGAAATTCAGAATGCCTTTGTATCAGAGAATTGAAATTTATGGCCTTATCATGACAACAGAAATGCAAATCTATTTTTAAGCCCTGGGAAAGACGTCACACTATTTTTTACTCTTATACTGTCCTTTCTCTGAATTTCCCAAAGAATTGTGCAAGAAACCTGGGCAGAAGTGACCCCTGCTATTGTGTCAAAACATCTGTTTCATTGCTTGTTCAAAGATTTTTTCCAAGGGTCTAGGCATGTTTGCAGTCAGAGCTCCAACAGAGAGCCAAACAAGGCTGGCTTGAAGAAGGAAAGTTTCCTTCTTGAAAAAGAAAGTTTGTTTCTATCATTCAACACTGCTCAGACAGTATTTTATCAAGCTGTGAAAAAACAGAAGCAAGTGTGGGAAGAGAGGAATGGCTTTTGCAGGGTGCCTAGAAAAAAGTTTTCCCAAATCCCAAGTTTCTCAAAGAATTTCTGCCGGCAGTTTCTTTCCTTCCATGTGCATTAATTTTTTGAGAAGGAAGTTCAACTTGTAGCCTCTGCCCGTTACAACTGCAACACTATGCCATGTGGAGAGGCTCCTTTTAGACTTATGACATTTAACATTGTGACTTTTAATATTTTTCCACTGAATTTCCATCGAGGAAAAACACGTGGTAAAAACCAAGCCATAAACCTGCCCACAAAAGCTATACAAATGAGTTTACCCTAACACCACCGTTTCTTACTCAGATTTCCAGAAAGCCTGGTGATAGCAAGGTCTCACAAAACAAAAACCAGCACAACACTGCAGCTTAGCACAAACTTCAGCTCACGCACAGAAGTCCTACTTAACATTGCGACAGTTTAAGAAACGGTCTCTTTATATCAACTATCTGGACACCCTCTTACTAGTAATTCTCCTGCTAAGTAGAAACTGTGCGGACTTTGCCTATTTGGAAAACTACTGAATTGACGATTTTCCTTAATTTAAAACTCACTTTTAGATTAGGAAAATGTAAATAAATTTAGACAAAACATTTTTTTTTTAGTGAGGAAACTATTGTTTACTACCAACACCTATCACTATGAAATTATCTTTTTATTTTCTTATTCTTTGCCACTTTGATAAAAATTCCCATTTACTTCTTCATGCCACCCTACCCGTTAAACCTGCCATGCCCAGTACCCAAATTCCTCCCGCAGCTCCTCAATTTCTTGTCCTCAACTCCAAGCATCCCTGTCACCTGCAGTTTCATAGCAGTCACGTTCCACGAGAGCAATGTTTCACTGGTGGCTGAGGAAAAGGCACACGCGGGGGCAATTTCTTGCTAAGTCAGAAATGGAAAACTTGCAAACTCAGTGTGGAATTGTGCCACGCTGAGTTTGGCTCACTTTGCACTTCTACCGATCAAATTTTGAAAACAATTTGAGGTCCCCTGAGCTGCAAGATGCTACCACACAGACTAAGGTTATGGGGAGCTCGTAAGTAATTACCTGTATTTGTGGCTTTAGGCAGTAGTCATTGGCGTGTATGCTGCTTTATACCACGCCTTCGAGGTGAGAAAGCTTACAAGAGTGCTAAAGCAATTTGTCAGATACTGCCAGGAAGACCCTTGAGCTCAGCAGAGCTTTCAGATTTACTTTTAATCCAAACTTCTGTTCCGTTGATCTTGCAGTATCTTTCCATTTTCACTACAAATACAAAAGCCAAGGCTGGACTGAGACATGCACAGAGCTGCTCCAGGTACGGATCTACTGTTCCGTTACTGGAGAGTGCATATCCAGCAGCAGCCAGCCTTTCCTGGCAGACATGGCTTTCTAAGCTAAGAAGTTGTAATTTCTTTACAGTATGCAAGCTGCCGCAAGCCAAACGAACTCCTGTGTTTTCCTAGTTATAGGGGCGCTGAGACTACAATGCCAGGAGCCGCTGCCATGCTGTCCTGAAATGCAGTAAGGTGTCTCAAGTACATCATCATCAGCAAAGACACCTCTGATCCCTTCCCATTCACACCTTATTTTGCCTCCTGTATCATTGCTGGCTTCAGACAACGGAGGGAATAAACAACAAAAAGAAGGGTCTTCAGCTACAGCTGGTATTGAAATGTTGCCTACCCAGGAATCAAACAGCCTAACCCCTTTCCAGACCATAATGTTCCTACCCCTAACTAGCACTGTCAGAAATTTTCAAGAGGCTGGGAGGTCAGGAACTTGCCCCGGCAGCAACAGCCATTACCCCACTGGCAGCTCTCTCTTCTAGGAGCATTCCTGGACAGCAAGGCTAGGCTTTGACAACATTTCTGGGGGAACGAAGTTCCTAAAATCTGAAGTTTAAACCATGCATTAAGGGAGCTTTTCCAGGCATAAAAAGCCAGGAAGGGAGAAAAGAGTAAATCCAAAAAAGTTTTTGCTCCTTTCAGATGTATGATCAACTCCCTGGGCGGTACCAAGAGAAGCTGAACTTCCTTTATGGTCTAGCGTCAGTTCATTGCATTTCAAAAACACTGCAGACAGATACTGACCTGTAGGAAAGTGCCCACCAAAAAACACATTGAATATTTCTTCTGGTGTAATGTCTGCTTCAAATTCTGTGTAGTAATTATAGTGCCTGGCCTGGCCAGTGCTGACATGCTCTTGGTCACTTCCGAATTCATCATATCGTAATCGTTTTTCAGGGTTGCTCAGAACTGCGAAAGCATTGCCTATTGCTGGAGAGTGAATGAAAAGAAGTGTTACACAGGCATATCACGCAGTGTTTCCAGATCTCGGACTTTTATAAGCAGAATAGCAAAAAAGCCCAAACAGGCAGAGAAAATTTGTGCTTGACTAAAGACTGAGTTACTTTTGAAAGAACTGCTTTTGTAAAAAAAGTGTTACAGCACTGGCATTACTTGTGGTGGAACCTATTTCCTGCTATCACTGATACCAGGAGAAAGACAAAAGTGTTAAAGTATATGGAGAGAGTCGAAATATTTGTAAAACTGAGGTGAGAGAGTCCACTTCAGTCAAGAGACTGAGTGAGAACGTAATATTTTATCAGATCAAACTAAGCAGCGATATAGAAGTGCACCTCCATATACCATATACAGTTAATACAAAGTTAATAACTGCAGAGACTAATTAAAATGCAGAACCATATTCCAAGTTCTTCTGTCGGCAGAGGTGCTTGTGAAGCGGTACAGCATATCTATTTCACACTTTACGTCAAACCACCCCAGAATTATTTGTTTGGTTCATCTTCTTCCTTGATCTTTGACAGAACATGGCTGTAAACAAGTTCATAGAGAAATACAACCCTAACACAAAAAAATAAAGAAAAGCCCTTCAAAAACTCCTCATTCTAATAGGCTATGAATGAATATCTTACTTTCCTCGCGCCGCCTTACAGTGCTGTTGCAGACAGCTGCAACACAGCACGGAAATGGCAAAGGACGTAAGAGTTTAGATGCCAAGATTGTCGATACAGGTTTAGATTGCAACATTACTGAAAAGTCCAGACACAGAATATCAGACTCAAATTTCATCTGCTTGCATATGTGTGTGTATATATATATAAAAAAATGATTTATGGCACAGAGCAGTTATTGATTACACAACCACACGCTCTCCTGCATGGCCAGTATCATTTCCAAGCATCGTTCCGAACCTTTAGCAGTATCTGGGAATGAGATCTGGGGCACGTCTCCCTTTGCTTCTAATGGAAATCTGTATTCTGAAGATTAAAAGGCAAACCTTGCCGACCAGCTGCGGGATTTTGTGGAGACGCGCATATATCTGTCTATAAAAATGACAAGGTGTATGGGCCCGTATGACGCCTTTATATAAGGCGCAGAACTGTGAGTCTGAGGCCGTCTGTCCCCGTTTCAATCTTGCTTTACGACTTTCGAAACGGGGCCAGCCCCCACCTCACCTTTAAAGGCTTCCGTTGCTCCGGGAGCGCGGTTCTTGTCAGGGTGAAATTTCAGGGCCAGTTTGCGGTAGGCTTTCTTCAGGTCCTCCTCGCTGGCGTCCCTCTCCACCCCCAGAATCTCATAGTAGTTCCGACACCTCTTTATTCTGGAAGCGCACACAAGGCTATCTTTACC